GCGTAAAGACCACTCGAATACGACGACGCGGCGTCGATGGGCGTCAACGCGCGACGACCGCGCGAGTGCCCGACCCCGCGCTCGGCTCCGCGCGCGCGTCGACGCCGCGCGCGCGGTCGTCGACGCCGCGCGCGTGACCTCGCGCGCGCGCCTCGATCGGCCGCGCGAGGTCGAGCGCGCGGTGCGTGCCGACGCGGTGGCGCATTCGAAAGCGCATCGGCGACCCATCGACCGCGCCGACGCGCATGGCGAGCATCCTCGGAAGCTGGTTCGGCGTTGGAGATGACGTGGAGAGTGATTCGGAGAGCGGCGGGAGCGGGGCGGGGAGCGAGAGCGATGGAGCGACGACGCCGAGGGCGCGACGGGACGCGGAGGAGGCGGAGCAACGGGCGTTGTTGCCGCCGGCGACGACGCTGCATTCGTACGAAGACGTTCGAAGAGCGGTGAATGGGAATCGGAGCGAGGAGGACTACCCGTCGGGGCTGACGAACGGGGGGAACACGTGCTTCGCCGCGGCTGCGTTGCAGTGCTTGAGGCGGGCGACGCCGCTGACGGCGTGGTTTGACGACGTGGATACGTTTCACGACGCGAAGCGGTGCGCGGAGACGAGACGATTTTGCGTCGTCTGCGAGTACGCGCGGCACTTGGAGCGGGCGAGGGAGTCGAGGGACGCGCACAGCATCGGGAGGTTGACGAAGGACATTAGCAAGGTGGCGAAACAGTTTCGCCGCGGACGACAGGAGGACTCGCACGAGTTCATCACGGCGCTTCTGGACGCCATGCACGTGATGTTCTTGAAGGATTTGGGCGGAGAGAAAAAGTTTGATCTTAGAACGCAGGAGACGACGGTGATTTATCACGTCTTTGGCGGGTACACTCTGGGCACGGTGAAGTGCCTGGAGTGTGGGTACGTGAGTAAAAGCTTTCAGAGCACGTTGGACATCCCGCTCGAGGTGACGGGGAAGATAACTTCCATCGAAGAGGCGTTGCGGGAAAATTTCTGCTCCGAAGAACTCTTACAGGGATCGAACAAGTACAAGTGTTCAAAGTGCAAGGCGCTGGTTCGAGCGAAAAAAGGCACCAAGATTCACGTCTCACCAAACATTCTGACCATCCCTCTGAAGAGATACTCCACCGGGAGGTTCAGTAAGATCACGAAATACGTAACGTATCCGGCAACGTTCTCGCTGGTCGAGTTCATGAGCGACGACGCACCTTACGAGGAATCCGCACCGGAGTACGAGCTCTTTGGTGTCCTCGTGCACCAGGACTTTTATGCCAGCGCGCACGCCGGACATTACGTGGCGTACGTGAAATTAAGGGACGATTCGTGGGTGTTGTGTAACGATAATCGCATCTCGCCTTCCTCGGAGAAGGAAGCGATGAAGCAAAAGGCGTACATTCTATTTTATGAGCGCTCTCGCGCGCGCGGGGCGCCGCCCATTCGGCCACCGGGATACTTGGAGGAACTCAAGCTCGCTCGCGACGCCGAGCGTGGGGCGCCGGCGACGAGACAAGATGATGAATTGGCGGCGCGTGAGCAGATGTTGGATCAATCGACGTCTTCGACGGCGGAGAGATTGGTATCCAAGCTCGATTCAATGACGCTTTCTGAATCAGCCCAAGGAGCCGTCTCGTCGCCTCGGGCGACGTTGACGCCGTCGGCGAGCATTCGACGCGTTGTGCGACCGGATGTGCCCACGAGCGGTCAACCAACGTACATCATGGAGACGGTCCGTACGGAGAAAGGTCGTGAACTGCGTGTGTCAGTCACTTTGCCAGGGTGCGTCACTGCGCGCGAGTTTGAGGTCGAGCTCACCACGCGAACCAAGTCTAGCCCTTCGTGCTTGGTCATCAAGGCACCGACGCTCTACACGGACCCGTTGGAAATATCTCTGCCGGACAACGTGGATGATCCCACGAAAAGTTCATTCATCAAAAACTCTTCGAAGTTGAACGTGCGCTTTCCAATCCATGAAGGTAATTGAAGCGCTCGTTTATCCCTGAGTCATTTCGTGTAACCATACGTAATATTGAACGTAATCATGACTTTTAGATCAGCGCCTCTTTCTCGCTCGTCTGCATCACGCACGCGTCGCGAAGGCGTTCGCGCTCAACGCGCGTTGATGTCGCATCATATGTACGAGACAGAGAAGAGCATAGCAACCTCACTGTGACGCTCGAAAGCAAATATGGGAACACCTAATCTCGACGATCACATGAACTCATTTGAACGCCATCGCGCGGCCGGCAACGGCGCGTTCGACAGCGGACGGTTCATCGAGGCAAGCGAAGAATACACGCAGGCGTTACAGTTCAGTATCGAAAAATCCGAAGCCCACGACGTTTGTGTCGTTCGCGCGAATCGAGCCGCGGCGTTCTGCAAGCGACAGAAATGGCAGGAAGCTATGGAAGACTGCTCGTGGGTCATTGCACGACCTTTAGAGGCTGGTCCTGTATGTCTCGCTAAGAGTTTATTTCGGCGCGCATTCGCACACGAAGGCATAGGTGACGCAGAGTCTGCAATCCGGGATCTGCGAGCCGCCGAAAAGCTGTGCCCGAACGACGCATTCATAAAGAATCATTTGAGGAATTACGAGTCGCCGTACCACTTGGCCGTAGTTCTCAATCGCGCGTCGAAAGAAACGTTGGCGCGGCAAAAACAGTTTCGACGATTCAAGCCAGAGACGAGAGTCTAAACTTAAATACAACAGCACACGACTGATTGTCTCGACGTTTAGTACTTCGAGCGATCGTCTTCCTCCAGTGCCACTAGCGTGGCATCCACAAGCCTTTCGAGAACGTGTGAGAGACGAGACAAACGCCCGCCTTGCTCGGAGTTCTCTTTGACGGAACTCGGGAGCTTCTCCACCGTTTCCGCGATCTTGGACGCCAGGTTGCTAATTTTCGATTCTATAATCGTTCGAAGCGCGTTACGTTCGCGCTCATACGAAGCGCACTTTGCCTCAAGTTGCTCGCACTTCGCGTTATTGTTCGCAGAATCGTTTCGTCGTTCAGTGGTGAGAAGCTCCAAACGTAATCGCGCATTATCCGCCTCTACCTCTTGTAGGGCGTCTAGGCGCTCGTTATTTTGCGTTTCGAGTAAAGCTACTTTCGCACGCAACTGGTTTATTTCCTCTGCCGCGGCGTTAGCATCGATTACCTTCGCGCTCGCGGATTCGGATTCTGACTCGCTCCCGATCCATCCACCGAGGGCGGCGCGGAAGCCGCCACTCGCGCTGAACTGTGCGTGCAACGTCTCTTTCACCGCCGCACGTTTAATGCCCAATAGTTCGGCTGTCTTTTCATCGAGCGCGTCCTCGAGCAAAGCCTTTTGTTCCTCGTTAGCCCGAACCTCTTCCTGCAGTGCGTCGATTCGCTCATCTCGCTCCCGCAGTCTGGCCGTGAGACCGAGCATGATGTCCCTCTGCTTGACCAGCACAGCCTTGTATCTTTCGACCTCTAGGGCCTCGGAACGTTCGGTTTCGATGCTTCTGAGTTTACGCTCGTACTCTTCACGAATAGCGGCCACGCTCGTTGGGTCATTACCGCTGAGCAGCTGACTCTGCATATCGGCGATGCGCTTCTCCAAGTTTCTTTTCTCCTGCTTCTCGACGAGAAACTCCTGTGATCGCATCTCCAGCTCGGTGATCGCTCGCAGTTTATCCGCCTCGGCGCGACGTCGTTGTTCATCAGCCTCCAATAACCGCCGTTTGTCGACCAGATCTTTCGTTCGCGTCTCGAGCTCGGTGCGCAACTGCCTCAGCTCTCTCTCGTACTTGCGAAGGAGAGATTTCTGATCCAAGTCCTCGTTCAGCCTGGCCCTGTTTTTTATCTCCTTCGCTCGACTCGCGAACTTGAGCGTCGACAACGACTCCGCGTACGCTTCGAGCGCTGGTGAAACCATGGCGATCACGGTCGTGATGCAGTTGCCGCCGAGTGAGTCCTCGAGAATGCGAGTCAATTTTGAGTCGCGATAAGGAATATGCGGGCGCCCTTTGCTATCCGTCAGGGCGCTGATGACGTTACCGAGCGCCGATAAGCTCTGGTTGATCTTCTTACTCTCGTCGAGCCGCTTACCCGTGGCCCCGGTGAGAGAAACGCGCTCAGATCCCGCCAAATCCACCAAGTTGAGCTTACCGACGGTGACGCTTTGCTTCCGCACGAGCGACCCTCCACCGTCCTCGGTCTCCTCATCCTCGATCGTACTATGCTCAATGATGATCGTGAACACAGCGTGCGATCGCGAGGAGACGTCGTTCATCTTCGTCGCCCCCGTCGCTCGAAGCTGCGCCCCGCGCTCGAGCAAGCTGTAAATCTCGCTCGGCGTTCGTACCACCCACTCGGACTGTCCCTCGACAAACACGCCGCGTTTCTTATCCTCGCGAATTTGTAAACTCGTTCGCTCCGGTTTCAAGAGATCGCTCACCGTTTCGTTATATATTTGCAGGTAACTCACCCGCACCAGATACTTTGAGCGCGCGTGCGAGTCCTTGGCGATGTAATCGAAAATATCTTCAATAGCGCGAGGTATGATCCCGCGCTCCGCTCCGTCCGTCAACGGCGCGTTTCCCGGCAGACCGAATCGCTGTTGCCCGTATGCCAGCATCGTTCCTCGATCTCCCTCCATCGTGTACGTCTTCCCCGTCCCCGTCTGTCCGTACGCCAGCACCGTGGCGTTGTACCCGTGAAGCGCGTTCACCACCGCCGGCCGCGCGCTTCGCTCGTACACCTCCTCCTGCGTCGCCCGCTCGTCGAACACACCATCGAAATCAAACGCATTCGTCTTCCCCTCGCTCGTCGTCGTCCCATCCTCGATGTCTTCCTCCATCGACCGTCTCGTCAGAAATCCGTCGCCGTCCTCCGCCCGCGCGCGTCGCAACCGCGCGCTCGCCTCGATCCTCCGTCCGTCCCCACTCGCCTCCACCGCGCGTTGATACCTCCGCGCGCCGTCCATCTCCCGTTTCAGCGCCGGTCGCACCCGTATCATCACCTCCACGCGCGCGTGCGGTTCATGGCTCTCCGTCGTCGTCGCCCGTTCGCCGTCTGGCCCATCCGTCACCACCGTCGCGTCGTCTCGCGCGCGCGCGCCCGAGACGTCGGCCGCCATCGCGCGCGCGACGTCGGCCGCCATCGCGCGCGCGACGCCCGCGCGCGCGATCGAGAGCGACGCCGTCGTCGACGACGCCGCGCGAGGACGCGACGACGTAAACAAACCCCGTCATGGTGAGCACACGCGAGGATGGACGCGATCGGCGGCGGCGACGCCATCGCGCGACGACGATGGCGGACGCGTGCGCGGACGCGCTCGCGGCGGTGACGCTGCGCGCGCACGCGTACTCGCGCGTCACGGGACGGACGTCCATCGAGGACGTCCTGCGAACGCCCGCGGCGACGCTGGTGGGGAAGACGATCGTCGTCGGGGGGTGGGTGAAAACGGGACGCGAGGCGGAGCGAGGAACGCTGTTGTTCATCGCGCTGAACGATGGAAGCGGGCCGGGGAACTTGCAGTGCGTGGTGCGGAGTGAGACGTACGCGCTGAGTGATCTGAAGACGACGGGGACGTCGGTGGTGCTGGAGGGGGAGCTCAGGGAACCGCCGGAGAGCGCGACGGGACAAACCATCGAGCTGCACGCGACGCGGGTGCTGATGTGCGGGACGTGCGATGGGGCGACGTATCCGATCGCGAAAAAGAAGCAAACGTTGGAGTATCTGCGGGAGAAGATTCACCTGAGACCGAGGACGAACACCATCGCGAGCGTGGCGCGGGTGCGAAGCGCGCTCGCGTTCGCGACGCATAGTTTCTTCAATCAGAACGGATTCTTGTACGTGCACACGCCGTGCATCACGCAGAGCGATTGCGAGGGCGCTGGGGAGATGTTCCAAGTCACCACCATGCTCAGCTCTGCGGAGAAACCGGAGGCTTTGGAGGCGGCGGTAAAGCCGGAGGAATTGGAGGCCAAGCGCGGCGAAGTCTCCGCCTCTGGCGCAGGCATCAAGGCGATGAAGGAGAGCGGTGCCGACTCGAAGGACGTGAAGAAAGCCGTCAAGGCAATGGACACGCTCAAGCAAGAGTTGGCGCAGATGGAACACGCGTCTCGTAAGATTGGTGGTCTTCAGCGCACCGAAGACGGCTCGATCGACTACTCTGAAGATTTCTTCGGCGGCAAATCTTTCTTGACCGTCTCAGGGCAGCTTCAAGTCGAGACGTACGCGTGCGCGTTATCCAACGTGTACACGTTCGGGCCGACTTTCCGCGCCGAAAACTCTAATACGACGCGTCACTTGGCTGAGTTCTGGATGATTGAGCCAGAACTCGCGTTCGCGGATTTGCAGGACGACATGCAGTGCGCGGAAGACTACGTCAAGTTCTGCTGCAACTACCTCCTCGAACATTGCTTGGGTGACCTCGAGTTCTTCGCCAAGATGTACGACTCGACGTGCATCGATCGCGTGCGCCAAATCGCGACTACGCCGTTCGGTCGCGTGTCGTATACGGAAGCCATCGAACTCTTGGAGAAGGCTGTGGCAGATGGTCACGAGTTCGTCTTCCCGGTGTCGTGGGGCATTGATCTCGCCACCGAGCACGAACGTTGGCTCGCCGAGTCGCACTTCAAAAAGCCGGTGATCGTGTACAACTACCCGAAGGACATCAAGGCATTCTATATGCGCCTGAACGACGACAACAAAACCGTCGCCGCCATGGACGTTTTGGTTCCGCGCGTCGGTGAACTCATCGGTGGCAGTCAGCGCGAAGAGCGCCTCGACGTCTTGGAGCGTCGCATGAAGGAATCTGGTCTCGACCCGGAAGATTACTCCTGGTATTTGGACTTGCGCCGTTTCGGCACTGTCACGCACTCCGGTTTTGGTCTCGGCTTCGAGCGCTTGATTTTGTTGTGTACCGGGATGGACAACATTCGCGACGTTATTCCTTACCCGCGTTGGCCGAACAACTGCATCAGCTAAGCCGAAAGAACGTAATAGATGTTAATACAATCAATTATTTCGCACGCCGTGCGCAAATATTCGATGCGAGTGGCGGAAATTGAAAAATCACGAGCCCTTCCTTCTCATCGTAGAACAGCACGGGAAACTTCGCAAACGCGTCTAAGAACCCAGCGTTACCGAGCGCGTCGATCGCTCGATCAACCGCGGACGCTTCCTCCCCTCGTGGAAAATCTCGCGGCTCGTCCTGTGTCAAACCGGCTCCAATCCAAAACTTATCGAACTGAATCACACAAGATGGCCTCGCCTTTCCTTCAGCTTCCATCTCCCGCCCAGCGATGACCGTTCCGCTCGCGCTCAACCACCCATCCGGAACTATCCCTCGATGCCGCACATCGCTTCGAATCTTCCCCTCTCGGATGTCGTACGAGAGCGGCGCGAAACGTACGCCGAGCGGGACGGCCAACCGCTGTATGTGCGGCGCGCAGAACACCTCCCACCTCCCGTCCCCGCGCACAGCGTTGGAGATTCCACCGTCCACGCGTCCACTCGCGATCAATCGATCGATGTCCGCCTGCGTCGACGCGTCCACGGCGTCGTTCAGCGTGCGAGCGTCTGTGCGAGCGAAATCCATCACGCGACGAACGACGGCGGATTCGTCGTCGCCACTGGACGCACTCGCGTGGGCGACGGCGCGGAAGTGACGGTGTGTGTCGCGCGCGCGCGTGCGCGACGACGCACGACAATCGATGCGGTTCGCGGTGGCGAGGCGCATGGCGAGGAGTGAGGAGCATGCTCGCGTTTCGTCTATTGCAAGTTCAACTCGGTCATTTCGTCCGCGACGAGCTCGGCGGCGGCGGGAATTCCCGACGCTCCGAACGCTGGGAGTGGCGCAGATTGAACTGAGGCTAGGAGTGAGGGATCGATTGTGGGTGGACGCGGGATGGCGCCCGTCGATTGCTGCGCCACCGATTCGACGGGCTGACGCGACGTTGCGTCGTACCCGTAAAAGGCGGCGCCGTCATTCGTGCGCTCTTGAGGCTGATGAGACACCGATGAAAAGCTTTCACTGTGTGAATCGTCACGCGAGTGCGATGTCGAAGGTCCAGGAATGAAAAAATTGCTGGGCCGACTCGGTGCCAGTCCGGCTCCCGGCACGACTGGCACAAAGCCTTGCGCCGGCGGCGTAGCAATAGGCGACGCACCGCCCTGAGCCGCGAACGTGTCGACATATCTCGAGTGGATACCGCCTTCATGCTTCGCCTTCGCATGGGTCGCCGGCGCCATGACAGGAGGCGGCTGACTCGTGGAATCTGATCCGCCAAAGCTGTTGTCGGACGCATTTCTAGTGGGCGGGGCGCCGACGGGCTTTGTCTCGGCAGGCGGTTCCTTACCACGCTCCAGCCACATCTTTCGCTGTTCGTCGTAATAGAACGCATTCTCGTGGCTCACCACCGGCTCGTGTGTAGGAGAAGGCTTCGGTGCGACGCCTCCAAACAGGGAAGACACCGAACGCAATAAACCACCGCTCGGCGTTCGCTCGTGCCGTGGTTCAGTTGGCGCATTCTGAGGTGACACCATCGGCTGCATTTGAGGCTGGTGCGCTAGCATTTGGGGTTGATGCGGTTGCATTTGAGGCTGGTGCAGTTGAAGTTGAGGTTGATGAAGTTGTCCAAGAGGCTGAGGTTGTTGGAATTCACCTGCATCGCCAAAGAGAGAGCTCACGCTTCTATCAAGCAAACCTTTGACCCCACTCACTAGAGATTTCGCAGCGCCTGCCGCCGCGTCAGCTAATCGTCCAGCTTTGCCCTTCAGCGCATTCTGAAGTCTATGCTCCATTTGAGCCGCCAATGTACCTACCAGGACGACATTCACCTCTGGGCTATTTTTATCCAAGGATCGAACACTTCTAGAAACGGATTCAACATAGGCCAGCGCGCGCTTCAACTTGCCAACCTCCGCTAGAGCTCCCGCGTGCAGCAGCTTATACGGCAACAGAGCCGGTAACTGCGCCTGAGGATTCGACCCCACGAGTGCGCTCTCCAATATTTCGGTGAGCTGCACAGCTTGAGGCGTGGCGTACGTTCTTGGGAATTTCCTATGGTCCGCTCCAATCAGGCACATCCGAGAGTTGAATGAATACGGCGCGGGCCGTTCCTTAGACAAAGCATAAACCGCATGCGCCGCATTCAAGTCATTTTGACGCCAAAGCTCGTCGCCAAGAGCTTTCAGCATGAATTCAGTGCCCTTGGTGGGGTTGGAACACAAAATGGCGACATGTTCTCGCCATCTCGGGATCAACTCTCGAATTCTCGACGCAGTCGGCATGCCTTCTGTACTCGAAGTGAGCTCGTGAGAAATACCAGCCAAGAGTATTTCAAGCGTATGCAAAGGCGAACCGAGCGTACATGAACTTCTGGCCATCGTTGCAACCGTCTCTTGGTAGTGTCTGCCTCCTAAATGGCCCGCGAGCAGGAGTGCATGAGGCCACAACTTCGCGTCAACAGCAACTCTCAATGCTTCACCTCGACGACCTTCAATGAGAAGGCTTTCTACTTGCAAGATCGCATGCTTATCGCTCTCACCCGCGGGATTGAGCGGAGATGTCCCCGAACTCGCCGCGACCCAACCACCGGTGGACGTTTCTTGTGTGCTCGTGAGCACTCGCGCAAGTTCAGCGTTAGCGCCTTTTCTATTCTCACCCAGCAAGTCTCCAGTAGTCATGAGTTCGCCCTGATACTGCACCATAGTTTGCAACACCCGGTAGAGCACAGCGTCGCTCTCCCCTTGTGGCTCGCCATCCGAAGCCAGGACGCCGTCAATCATCTTCGCTACGTCCGTGGCGCGCCGATTGTTTAGTGGACCACTAAAAAGATCCACCGAGCGTATGTACGCCGTTCCGAGCGTGTTGCCACCTTGCAATAATGACCGCACCGAGTGCACTTGCACACTACACGGGGGTATGCTCGTTCCTTGAGTCTGCCTACCGCCTGGGAATCCAGGTCCAGTAAGCGCGAGCACGCCACCAAAGCCGAAGCTCAACGCCACGTGATGCGGTCTACCGTCTGGGGAGCGCTCCGTTTCGTCAAAACCGACTGGTTTGCGAGTTTGACTTTCGCCGTAAGCCGAATATTGTTGTGGTTGCGCCGCTTGAGTTTCATACGACTGCGCGTACACTCCGTAGCTCGCTACCGGTGCAGGTGGGTACGATTCTTGTCGCGGTGGTGGCGCAGGCTCGAAAGACGCATATCCGGCGCTCACACGGGGTGGCGGAGTAGAAGGTGGCGGTATCTCCGTCTGCGACACGGCGCGAACGACGGCCATGGGTGACTCTTGCACGGGTTGAATGGGTTCTGGCACCATGAATGTTGGCATCGACGGCGTTGGTGGAATCGGCGCCATCATGTCTGAAATTGAACTCGTCGACGATACTCGGCTGTGAAAATTTTCAGACGAGTACGCCGGCACAATCGGCGGCGGTCCCTGATCGGTGAACGAGCCGTTACCGTAATCATAAGAAGACGTTCGCGGTGGCGGTCGTTGCTCGTACTGCGCTTGCGTCGGCGGATCGTCGTTCGCAAAGCTCGTCGGGAACTGTTGTTCGTGTTCGTGTTGTGCGACGTATTCCATCAGAGGTTCCGGCGTCGGTACAGCCTCCGACACCGGTTCCGGCTCCTGTTTGAGCTCTACTGCTTCACTCGGCCACCACTCCGCGGAAGACTGTTCGTGTGCGCCGACGAACTCTGTCTGCGGATACTCTGCCGGCGCGTGCGTCTCTTCGTAGAACGCCTCGTCGGATTCGGACGCGTGCGTGAAGAGCGTCGCCGTGCCGAAATCCGACGTCGCCACCGGTGGCGGCGCCGCCATCAACGGCGGGTCCACGGTCGTCTCGTACACCGGCGCATCCACGGGCGCCGCGTGCGAACGCCCGTCTCCCTCTCTCTCGCGCGCGCTCGGTTCGGTCTCCACGCTCGCGTCCAACTCGTTAAAAAATTCCATCCCATCATCCCTCCCCCCGTTTGGCGACGCGAACGGCCCGTTCGTCCGCACCGCATGCGTCACATCCACCGCGCGCGTCGCCCTCGACGTCACCACGGCCGCCACACCGACGTCCGCCGCGCGCGCGTCCCCGCGCGGCGTCTCCGCGCCCGTCCCACGCGGCGTCATCCAATCATCGTCCCCATCGTCTCCCCCGAACAGCG